TGGAACTCACTTGGTAGCCCAGGCTGGCCTCGAACTCACAGAGATCCGCCTGGCTCTGCCTCCCGAGTGCTGGGATTAAAGGCATGCGCCACCACCGCCCGGCCCACACCCGGCTTTTAATGTGGGTGGTGGGCATCTGAGCTTGTACAGTAAGGACTTCGACATCTGATCCATTTCTTCGGCTCCCCCCAAAAATCACAAACTTGAGACTGTCCTACATACAGACCAGGCCGTGACACCTTTTATTCAAGCATCACTAGCACAAAAGACTACATGGCCAAGAAGAGGCTGAACAGAGCCGATCTCTGAAACACTTGGTCACCACAGAGGACAAGGCAAACTCCTTATGTGGTGCTAAGATACTTACGATGGCCAGGCGTGGTGGCGTACACCTGCAGTTCCAGCGCTCAGAGGGCAGAGGCAGGCAGATCTCTGTGAGTTCGAGGCCAGCCCGAGCTACACCAGGAGGTCCAGACCAGCCAGGTCTTGACAAGACTAGTATATAACCAACACACGTATTTAACAGGCCAGAGGGCAAGTTGTAGAGGTTTTACTAAGATCAGTTACTTGGGGTTACACGTGTGTAAGTGAGCTGTCAGCTAATATGGCTACTTAACAAGGACAGAACTGGAGGAGAAGAGAGGAGACGGACTTCTCACACACATCTACACAGGTCGACTTGTTATAAGGAAGGTAACCACTGGGCTTAGCCAGTGAGCAAAAGGAAAGAGCTGAATTTCTCTCAGCACACCACCAGCCACGAAGCTCACTTGAAATAACCATCAGTTCAAAGGCTAACAGCACCACCAAGCATTCCAGACCTGCCCCTCCTGAAAATGTCCAGAGACCTGCACAATCACAACCAGAAGCCAAAAGAAAAGATACAACGTGGACTCAAATCACAGCCCACCTCCTGCTTACCCAAGGCTGCTCCAGGACTACTCACCATCAAACTTGGCCAGCTTACTGATGTCCCCCAGCTCAGAGGTGACTGGAATCGCCTGGCGTACTTTCATATTGGTCTCTCTGGAAGAACAATAAATACCCTTGAGTCCTGGCCTCTCCTAGCAGCTGGAATCAATCCTTGGGCACCTGACCCTCAACGGCTTAGCCTAGAAAAGTTTGACTTGACATATCCAGAGCCTTTCTTTTTCTTTTTTCTTTTTTTTTTTTTTTCAAGACAGTTTCTCTGTGTAGTTTTGGAGCCTGTCCTGAAACTCACTCTGTAGACCAGGCTGGCCTCGAACTCACAGAGATCCGCCTGGCTCTGCCTCCCGAGTGCTGGGATTAAAGGCGTGCGCCACCACCGCCCGGCCCCCAGAGCCTTTCTTACTCCCCAGTTTTCTAAAAAGAGCAGAACCCAGGCCTGGGATCCTCCTTCAAACCATCTTTTACCCCTAAGGACACGAGGAGGACCCTGATACAAGCACGCCACTCACCCATCCAGCTCCGCGGTCTCGATGTAGCACAACCCATGGGGCTCGCTGCTGGAGAGGAGGAGGAGGTCCGCCTGCGCAGAGAGCCTGATGAGAACTCACCCAGCCTCTGCCCTCCGCGGGCTCAGCGGCCATCACCCTCCGGGGGGCAGAGGGGCTTGGCTTGGTTTGGGGCTGTTCTGAGATAGTGTCTCTCATTGTATAGAGCCCTGTCTGTAGGCCAGCCTGGTCTACAGAATGAATTTCTGTAGGCCAGCCTGGTCTACAGAATGAATTTCTGTAGACCAGGCTGGCCTTATCTCTGCCTTTGCCTCTGTTCTGGCATTAGAAGCCATGCCATTGTGGCCGGCACAGAGATGTATTCTTTTTGTTTTGAATTCAAAAGGCATGTTAACATGACCCAGAAGCCCGCTGTCTGGGAAAACCTCTTTCCATAAGTGTTAAGAGGCAACAGAAAACCAGGAAGGAACCGTGCCCTTCTAACAAAGAGGACAATAACCCCGCAGAGTGAAAAGGCACCTTGCCACTTACCGCCACAAACTGGTTGTTTTCTAGCTTGATAATATCACCGACACAGACATTCATCCATTGCTCTTGCTGGAGGCTGTGGCAAAGAGAAGACAGCAGAGGCCATGAGTAACTATGACGGTTCCCATGGAAACCTCCCTCCTCCCCAGAGCCCTGGTCTCCAACAGTCACTCACACTCCATTGATCAGCACCTGAGAATGACGGTTATTCACCTGGTTATCACTCTTGTGGCGGAACTGAAAGAGAACCAGGGGAAGTGAGACTCCTTCTCTCTCTCCCCGAGCCCGGGACTAGATCAGTGCGACTCAGAGCATCCTGGTGTCCATAACAGCGGTCCACAGGCCAGCTAAAGCCCCCACCTAGCCCTCAGCCTAGGTACTGCAGATCTAGCTGTACCATAAGGGACACCAAGGTCACCAAGGAACTGTACCAAATAAAAGTGGGGGGGGGGGAGGAAGGATGAGGGGGAGGTGACGAGGAACAGAAGGTCAACAACTCACATAGTCATCAGTGGCATCTTTAACAGCTGTGATGGTGAGGACAAGAACCAAAGGCACAATGGTGGTGAACCAGGACAGGGAGGAGATCTGGGGGATCAGCTGCAAAGAGCAGAGAGGCATGCAGCTGCGGAGAGGCATGCTGCCGAAGCCCCCGTCCAGGGGGTTCTCGCCCCGACCCCTCTTCTTCTTTGCCTTTATTCAGCTTTGTGAGTTAGAGAAGACATAAGAGAGGTCACTTACCTGTAGGATGAGAAGGAATAGGAAGTAGGTGTTGGCAACTTCCTGGAACTGCTCGAAGAGGTTGACAGGCAGGAAGGTGAGAATATTGTACTTGGAGGTCTTGATGCAGTTACTCTACAGCAAGAAGGGGGAGATGCTGAGAGAGGCCCCCTTCACCCCAACCCCTAGAGCCAGGCTGGGGCTGCCTCTTCCTTCTTCCCGAACCTCCTGCACACACCGCCTTGCCAGCAACCCAGGTGTGGGACAGGGGGAGGAGGGGGGGGGGGGAAGAAAGTCTCTCCAGGCCCATGTATTTTGCTTCAGTGATAGAAAGCCTGAAAAGTCAGCCCTGCAGCAGATGGAAATTGGGCCAAAGATGATGCTTCCCTGCCTCCCTCCCCCCTCCCCCCCAGGCACCCTTCCCTCAGCCACCAGCCTCGGCCTCAGATCTTCCAATACTCTTCCTCCCCAGCTCTGGGAAGAGGGAACACTTACCGCATACTGGAATTTCTCATTGTATTCGCGGTCATTGGCCCGCGCCCTCCGCTCTTCTTCTGCAATAGAATGAGGCTGTAGTCAGAAGGAGCGAACTGCGTCCGGCCTACCCAGCCTTTGTGAGGGTTCCACAGGACTGCTGCTTTCCCCAGAACACATCTTCGGGGATGCTTTGCTCTAGTCCACAGTTTGCCAATGGCAAACACGGCCCTTCGTGCTACTCCCCCGCTTCCCCTTTAGAGACGAAGTCTCCCTGTGTGATGCAGGCCGGCCTCCGGCCTCCTCAGCCTTCCAAGTGCTGCGCCTCTACTCCTCAGGACAGTTCTCTGCTCCTAACTATCAACCATCAAGACCCTCCACCCACCAGAAGCACTCAGTCCCTCCCCCTCCTCCCGCCCGCCCGCATCCCCAGGTCCCTTCGCTCGCTCCCGTTAATAACACATCCCTCACCGCGATCAAGGGGGAGTGCTGCCCGCACAAAGCCCCCTTCCTCGTGGAGACCACGGCAAAGCTACTCCCGGCACCGTTCTCACCCTGATCTGCGGAGGGGCACGGTGGGTGGTGCCGAGGCAGAGAGGGTCACAGTGCCCTGGAACTGCTCTGCCGCAGCATCCCGGGCCCACGTGCAGTGTCTCTAAAGGAGCCTCTTGTCACATGTCACCATCAGCAGTTTCTGACTGGTGGACAATGACATCATCCTATTGCAAAGCTCATCTTCGAGTGTGGGGGTGTGTGTGCATGCGTGTGTGTCAGAGATGTGGGTCATGCAGACAGAGCGGCAATGGAGAGAAGATGAGATAGATACACTGCGATCTTTCTTCTACCACACACAGATATTTTCCTTAAACGGAAATGTCACCGTTAACGACCCTTATTTAAGCTGCACCTCACCTAAACCTTCGAGACCCCCAGGCTGCAAGTGGCAATTCCAGGGCCAAGAATAAGAGATGTCCTACGAAGGGGTCCCTCCTCGGACTTAAAAAGGAGTCGTAAATCAGTTATGCAGTAAGCCTGCCACCTTAAATTTGACCAAGAGTCCCAGGGGATAGTCTAGACCTCTTCCCCCAACAAGCACAATGCAGTAACAAACTCCACGCCACAGAGTCACCAGACAAATGAGCCATCTGACAACCAGAAACTTCCCTCAGAGGGTCCCCTTTCCTACTGAGACCCTAATCTCCAAGGACCATGCAAAAGGAGGAGGAGGATCCCAAAGGGCCCCGCAAAGAGCGTGGGGAGGGAGACCGAGGACAAGGGAATGCTGTGGAGGTCAGAGGAGGCAAATCACAGAAGGGAGAGCTGCCAGACACTGCCTGCCCGTTACCTGTCCCCCAAGAGGGCTTCTTCTGGCTCCAAGATGGAGGCGCCCCGGCCCGGGCCCACTTCTCGGGCATCTCCTTGGGGACCGTCATGATCCCGTTTTAAGAAGGCGCACTGTGTCCTTGGCCTCAGCGGCGCCTATGGGGCGGCCCCCCGGGGAGGCGCAAGGGCTGCGGCCACGCAGAGGGGAGCCCCGGCCGCTGGGCGCGCGCGCCACCCGCAGCCCAAACCATCCTCGCGGCCACCTGCGCCTGGGACCACCAGCTCTGCAGGAGCTCCACTCCCGAATCCCACGACAGAGGCGGGTGGGTGGGTGGAGCTTTGAGTGTCCGGAACGCGGTGCCCACGCCCCACGCTCCGCCCCACCTGCTCCCACTGCAGAGCTCAAGTCTGCCAGTGCCGCGTAGGCGAAAGCCAGCACGCGGCCCCGCCCCCTCCCCCAGCCAATGCCGGAGAGCCGCCCGCCCGCGTTGTCCTGGGCAACGGCTTTCATCCCACACCCCCCTCCTTCCGCGGGAAACCGAGGAGGACTCCGGTGGGTAGGCAAAACGAGGCCAGAGCCCAAAAGCCCAGGCCCAAGAGTAGGAGCTGCAGGTGCTTTGAGAAGGGGGCTGGTGATTAGCAGTCCCAGCTGAACATCAGCCCAAGGATGAAATGAGCGATTCGGTTTCTCAGGCTACCCCTTCACCCCCGCCGCCCCAAGATGCCTAGAGGGCTTAACCCGCCCCCCTTTTCTCGGAACCATACTAGTTGTCCCTCTCCCCTTGGCTCGCTAAGTCATCATAACAGCCACTTTCATCACGGCCCCGGGGACCCGCTCCTTGCTGCTCTTACCTGGGGGGCGCTTTTTTGCACACAGTGCCATCTCACCCAGCAAGGTTCCAGCAATCCCATGGGAGACCCTGCAAGAAAGCAACGGACGCACGTGGTCGGGAACTCTTCATCCCCCACAGGAGACCCAATCTAAAGATCATCCCAGCTATGCCCCTGCCGTCCCCCACAGCCTCCAACTCCATGCACACTCTCATCTTCCTGTTCTGCTATGGATGCCTGAGTGAAAGAGGTCTTCCCTCTGTCCTGGATAACATGAGGGGACTGAGAATTTACAGAAGCCAAAACCTATAGAGAAGGGCCTAGAAGAGACCAGACACTGACAAGTGAGATGCTCTCAAGGCAGCTCCCTCAGGAACTAACGGGATGTCCCATGTGCCCTCCTGGTAGCAATGAATGCAGCCTGTACTAGAAAGCAGAATTTCCCCCTCGCAGGTTGGGTGGAGATATCATGAGCCAGGAAACACCTGGCAGAGCATCAGGAAACCGGGTGGGCGCGTCCCACCCTTCTAGAAAGCTCATAATGTCCCCACCCCCACTTTCATTACTGGGACTTCCATTATCACCTTCTTCTCCCCGGAGGGGTTCTCATCAGAGACATGGCCACCACTTCCTGCAGACAGTCCCCAAACCACTTCCTCGCGGTCGGGGCCATCGGAGAGGTCTCCGCAACCCTGCTGAAGTCACCTTTCTTTCCCACCCCCGGGGGCTAGTCCAGTCAGTGCAACACTAGATACAGGCTCAGAGAGCCTCTGCTTCCTCCCACCCTTCCGTGTTCTTTCTCCTAAAAAGGTGCAGTCCTGGCCAAGGAAACTCTTCCTTTAGACGGAACCAACCCCTCCTCGGTTCCCCTGCTTCCAGCCTGTCAGCCCCAAGAGCTACTAATTGCCTGTCTGCCCAATCTCTATAATTACTGACTCTGGTCCCAGCCCAGTCACCCACACCAATTCTCCCTTCGCTAACACACGCTCCCTCCCTGACCTCAGAGCAGACAATCCTAAGGGGCATAAGTTCCTTTCACTCCTGACTCTCCGCAAGTGTGGCGAGCAACGGCGCTGCCCCCTTGGCTCAGGACGAAAACCTCATGCACATTTTGGCGATGCCAAGCCCTCTTCCAGAGCCCCAGCCAGGGTCTCCACCCAATCTAGAGCATGAGTCATGGGAGGGTGGGGTGCGAAACCAGAGGTTAAAGGAGAGGATGCAGGGTGGGCATTATTGGCTCCTACCTAGCCCCACCCTGGTGGGAGGCTCTCAAGCATCGTTGGCCCTAAGGTCTGCGTCTTCCTCATTTGAGAGTTAACAGTGGACCTAGCTGACCACCAAGAGCCAAGTCTGGGCACGGATCAGGAAAGTTCTTTTACCTCTAAGACCCTGGGGAGACTCCACACAAGTTTGCCCCAACCCTCCAAGGGGGCACAGTAATAGAAATCACTGGCAACAGGGTCCCCCTCTCAGGATGTCCTGGGTTTTCTAAACCGGTTAGGCCCATCAGCCACGTCGCCTTGCCCCGTCACCCTACCCCAGCCCCCTCTGCAGCCACATCTGGGATAAAAATAGCCAGCCCTGGGAAGGAGGCAACGCTCCACGGAGGAAAAGGGCTCCTCCTCTGGGTCTGGCCTCCACTCCTTTCCAACCAAGAGTCTCCAGAGGAAGCGAGCAGGTCGGGGGAGGCAGGAGAAAACAATAACGCCAGGGGCCACCTTCCTTTCCGGGGCAAGGACAGTATCCAGGACCCGGTGCACAGCTCTGAGCTCCCAAAGCTAACCCCCCTGGCACCCTCGGTTTTCCTGGGGCGCGGAGACCTCCACCTTCGCGGGACAAATCCTATCATCCCCAAACTCCCTCTCCGGGCACCTAAAGGCTGGGACCAGGGTAACTCCTCGCACCCCAACTCTCCGTGCGCCCCATCTTCCCAGCCTGCGCACAGCGGCCGGCCGGCTCTCTCCATCCCGGGGAACCCTTCTCTCCAGCCTCCCACAGCCGCTCCCCACGGCCCCCGCAGCCCGGGCCTCCCGGAGCCGGTCCTCCCGGTCCACACCCCCGACCCGCCGCGGCGGCGCCTCACCTCAGCGCGCG